CTCTGGTGGGCTGAAGAGTGCTCGTCATCATCAATCTAGGTGGCTTTCACAAAATACAGCCCTCAATTGTTTATTTGGTGGTGGAATTATTGGAAGTATTTTCAATTTTATGCTACTTTCTGCATCTACCCCACTACATTTCAGAGGCAAACATTGTACCTTGCACTTTGTACTTGAGTCACTGAAATGAACCTTTAAACAGCAATATACATAGACTCAGAAAAGCACGGCTCATCCACATTAGGTGTTCTTTCATCAGGAAAAAATTAGAGGTGGTGAGAAGCAAGAAATAATTGGAGGAACATGTCCCTGAGATCTGACACCAGAAACCCAAAATAGCTGCTCTGCCCTTCTGTGGATGGGCACTCTAAAAAAATTCATCTCCATCTCACATCCGAGGCCACAAATATGGGATGACAAGGCTGCACAGTGCCTTCGTTCCACTTCACAGACAAGAAGAGTGTCACTGCTTGCTCACAGGAAGTGCTGCACGGGGACGACGCCATCTTCGATGAGCCGGCTGCCATTTCTGTTTTTTTTTTTGGCTTTACTCTCCTTGTACTTCCTACAGGGATTATCAGCCCATGGTGTTGATAGACCAGGTGTTGTTCTGGCTCTAATTGCGCCTCAATATTGATGAGTAGGTGACAGTGGTCAATAACTATCAATCAGCCTCACTTTAAGTCCACTTTTATGTGGCATGACTAAGAGAGAGAGAGAGAGAGAGAGCCTTTATTAGAGAGTCACAGCCGGCCATGAAGCCCAGGAGACACCCAGCAGGATGTTGTTGTGACAAAGCACCCGGCTATGAGAGTAAATTTGTTTGTCATTAAACACTGTGACAGAACGGTGGACAATAGACAACACGTATCACTACCGTATAAGAGTATTAAAGTGAAGAGCTATAGCCTTTGATAAGTAGACTGTAGAGTAACTTCACATCATGCTACTGCAGCTGCTGGGTAACAATTTCTCTCAGGATATAATTCTGTTTGTGATGTTCATGGACAGGATCTCAAAGCGCAGCCGGGCATGGGAAGGGGTTCAGTTTGGTGACCTCAGAATTGCATCTCTGCTTTTTGCAGATGATGTGGTTCTATTGGCTTCACCACACCGTGACGTCCAGCATGCACTGAGGCAGTTTGCAGCCGAGTGTGAAGCAGTGGCCATGGTTCTGTGCTGGAAAACAGTGAATTGCCCCCCTCTGGGTTGGGAGGGAGTTACTGCCCCAAGCGAGGGAGTTCATGTATCTTGGGGTCTTGTTCACAAGTAAGGGTAGAATCGAGCCTAAGATGGATCAGCTGCGACACACCGTCATGGTGAAGAGGGAGCTAAACCAGCAGGCAAAGCTTTTGATTTACTGGTCCATCTAAGTCCCAACCCTCACCTCTGGTCATGAGCTCTGGGTAATTATTGAAAGAATGAGGTTGTGGACACAAGTGGCTAAAATGAGTTTCCTCCGTGGGATGGCTGTGCTCAGCCTTAGAAGTAAGGAGTAAGGACCTTGGACATCCGGAGAGAGCTCAGAGTAGAGCCGCTGCTTCTTCAAGTCAAAAGGGATTAATTTAGGTGGTACAGGCATCCAATCAGGATGCCTCCTGGGCGCCTCCTCCTAAGTGTTTGGAGCATGTCCCAGTGATAGGAAGCCCCGGGGCAGACCCAGAACATGCTGGATGGATTACATATCTCGTCTGGCCTGGGAACACCTTAGGGTCCCCTAGGAGGGGCTGGAAAGTGTTGCTGGGAACAGGGGAGTCTGGAATGCTTTGCTCAGCCTGCTGCCACCACGACATGGTTTCAGATAAGTGGTTAAAAATGAATGGATGGATGGATGCTGCTTTTTCATATTGTGACATGTTAAAATGTCTTGTGTGGAAAAAAAGACCTATTCTAACATCAGTCTTAAAAGAAAATCTATCAAGCAGTCCTTTAAAATGTGAAAAATCTCCATTTTATAAACTTTCTAGATCAGTATAACCAAATTGTGAACATGCATTATCCTGATCATTTTCACGCACAGAGTAATACTGATTTTAAATTGAATAAGACAAAGTACTAGTATGAGATCAGCATTTGGTTCCAGCTGAAATCCCACAATTACATAGAAATCCAACTCTATAATAAAGGGGAAAACAAAATGAAATATGTCCATCCATATAAAGATAGGGATAGAGTGATCCGATGAGATTTGACTCTGACAACATGAAATAACCCCTTAAACAGACCAGGTCACAGAAAGACAACAGGAGGAATGTGGTAGCCTAAAGTATCATATGTTTTATGGGTAAAGTATTACTTTAAAGGACAACTTCGGTATTTTTCAACCTGGGCTCTATTTCCCCATGTGTATGTGTGCGTATGATTCATGGGCACCACTCGTTCTAAAATTGGTTCAGTATTGAGCTGCGGAACGAGCTAAAACGGTAATGGGGGCAAATGCGTCCCGTATAAAAGTGCTTTTTTTCACCACTGACCGGTTCAGATCGCCAGTGCTATCTCTGTAAATAGCATATTGGTAGCGGCCCTGGGGCAGTGGTGAGTGTGAATGAGTGGAGTCAGCTGTCAGTCAGTGTTGAAGCAGAAAGGCGGAAGTTGTCCCCGCTCGGTATTGTAAATAAGTATGTGTGTGTGAAATGTGTGTTTTTTCGCCACTGACCGGTTCAGATCGGCAGTGTTATCTCTGTAAATAGCATACTAACTTAGCCTTTCCCTTACCTCTGGGCTGTGTGATGTCACAAGCTTTGCTCCACTGTGTCTGTAGCTCTCTCTACTCGTGGGGCAGCCGTTTTCTTGAGGAAGAGGCGTTTCGGGATTGGATGTCTTCTCTTCTTCAGCTGGCAGTAGTCATCATGGGAGAAGTGAGCACTGCAGACCCGATGGTCTGCAAGGCGCAGTGTCTGGACAGGAGTGTTAGCATCCATTTGTAGCACAACTAGACGCAACTTCAGCATCTCGCCGTCCGACAAAGGCAACCTATGAAAGCTGTACGGGGTGTTGCGCGACATCCTGTTCTTGCGTTCGGGAAAAAGGCCCGTTTATTTGAGCACTCCAAAAGCTCCGGTAACACTCCAGGGGGTAGCACGTAAAAGACTCCGTCCTCTGACTCTTCTAGCGTAACACACACTTCACACACACATAATCATTTACATTACCAAGTGGGGACAACTTCCGCTTTCTGCTCCAACACTGACTGACAGCTGACTCCAGTCATTTACAGTCACCACTGCCCCAGGGCCGCTACTATATGCTATTTACAGAGATAGCACTGGCGAACCGGTCAGTGGCGAAAAAAGCACTTTTATATACGGGACGCATTTGCCCCCATTACCGTTTTAGCTCGTTTCGCGGCTGAGTGGTACCCATGAATCATACGCACACATACACATGGGGAAATAGAGCCCAGGTTGAAAAATACCGAAGTTGTCCTTTAAGACACTCCACAGTCTCCCCTTATGAACAAAAATACTTTCTTTGCCGGTTTTACTTCCACTCTCGCCCTGCTTTTGTTTTCTTCAAAAACATAAAATGATAAATTTTAGCTGTACCTATTCTCAGCTAACTGCGCTCAAAATTTCTTAGGGGTGTTAGTGTAGTGTATGTGGTGTATTGTGGTAGATGTATTTTATTGTGCCTCCAATGTTTATAGTGTATTGTGGTTTTATGATGAACACTGTAGACCCACATGTAAAAGCCCAACTCATGACAAGAGCTGAAAATTAGCAGTTGTTATAAACTCTCTGTGCAACACATCAGTCTCATACCCTGTGTTGGAACTGTCTTAAAGTGCATCATCCCTATCAAATAAAGTAAATATAAATGCAAGTCTTTTCATAAACTGCACCACAGTGAAGTTGTTTCAAAGGCCGAATGACTCAGTGAGGTCCAGAGATGGAGAATATTGTTGTGTAATGCTTGGCGAGGATGCAGATGAGCATCATTCCTCCAAACAATCCTGGCGCTGAAGTGAAGCTTCACCCTGACCTCTGTCTGATTTCCCATCCTCTGAGTGTCTAGAAACAATTTGCTCAGCTCTCTACCTCTGTCTCTTCAGCTTTTCTCCACTTCATCTCTCTAACTCAGGGCTTTCTTCTTTTCCTGGGAGTCATGCTGCCCGGGGTGCTTTACTGATTCTCAGTTTTCTAACCAGGCGTCGTTTTGCGGTACATATTTTCTCTTTCAGGAGCACACCTCTTCACATTCATACATTGATTTCACACAAGGGAGCTACTCCATTTACTTTTGGCTGCTCAGTTGTGGACAGTATTTTGCTTGCAGTAATTCAGTGGTAGCTGAGTTAAAAGCTCTCCTCTGCAAGATTTGCTATCTGTTTTTTTTATCTGAGTCAGTGAGTGATTTTATGGCTAAAGACTGCTGAGGATAGTTGATGGATAAAGTTGCTGCTCTTGGGATCAAACTTTTTTTATAGTCAGAAACTATATCAGTTGTAATCCTCTACTTTGGCTGTTTTGGGTCTGTGGCTACATGCGTGTCTAAACAGGAAGTTAGAGTAATCTGAATAATCTAATGTCTGTTTCACTGCTAAAAAGACAGTATTTTCACAAAACTGGGCTGTCAATGCAGTAGAGAGATGCAAATACTGTTGAAATTGGTGCTATATGACCAAACAAAACAGAGGAAACGGCTGTACTTTTGCAATTTAATTGGCGTTTGGTCTGACTTTGGGGCAGCTCTCTCTTTAATTCTGCTTCTTCACTCTTTGTTCTGTAGTTCAAGCAACAGCATAAGAGTGAAACACGTCATCTGGTCCATCTCCATCTGTTTAATGGAGTGTGGTATCAATCCTTTATACTTAGAGGAATTATAAATAATCATTTAATGCTTTGTCAAGTCTTTTTTTAAATGTTCCTTGATCAGATCTGGTCCTTGATTAGATTCTATTTTAGTAAAGTTCTTGTATTTGTATTTCTGCCCACAGTATTTTAGGACAACATTAAACACAGCTGTATTAGAGATGTTTTCCAAAGGTATCGTAATCTTACCTCATCATACTTGCAGGCAACATCTGCCAGGCTGCTGGTTTCCCCCAGTAGACTGAGATCCAGCTCACTGGGACCTGAAGACAGAACAAAGAGAACAATAATCAAACTCTGAGTTTACTGTTAATTAACTTTAAATGACTCATTTCTTAAAGGAATTAGCACAAGTGTCTTTCTATGAATTTTCAGTGTAAATAAAGATTTTTAAACACTTGCTTTAGTGACATTTGGACCTGTTCTAAAGAATAAATCTATAAATAAATAGAAGAATAAATTAATATGTGTTCTGTACTTTAAAAGTCCCACTCTGGCAACAGTGATCTTCAGTCATCTTTAAGACAATTCAGCTGCTGAGTGCCACATTTCATCAGTCAGGAAACGAGGGAGAGACAGACACTACAGCACACAGCGGAGTTCCACTCCAATGCGCACACACACACGCACACACACACAAACACACAGACACACAGAGACGTGCTCACACTTACAGGTGAGAACACTAGAGCGTGGCTCGGGCCGCATTGTCGTGACCGAACTGACCCGACGCAGTTTGTTACTTGACATAGTTATTGTTATGGACAGTGTGTAACACGCTGCTCGCACAGCAGCGCAGCACAGCACTGTATGGAGCGGAGCCTGTGTTGCGTTCAGGCGTTGTCACGTAAATAACAAATTCCAGCACTTAAATAGGCCATAGCACAACACAGCAGCATGTCAAGTGGGCCGAACCCTGCTCCTGCCGCCCCCCGCCCCGACACACACATTGTGACAAAGTGCCGCCCTGGGCAAACGCCTATTAGGCCCATATCTGCATCCGCTACTGCAACAGATATTTAGTTTTCAGTGATATCCATCTAAATATGCTACTGGACATTATCCAAGGCTGATTCTTCAGGTTTCTTTCCACCCCTCACTAACAGAAGGCCAAGGTCTGATGACATTCTCCTGTTTAAGGTGTGTTCAAACATTATTTTATTTCCCCTTAACCTCTTAGAAAAGGAAAAACACCTGTGTCACCTAACTCTTGCAGACTCCAGTTCAGTGAAAGGAATAACCTGCTGTTGCAGTACAAATGTGGGTAAAGGCAGCAAATAAACATGTTTAAGAGGCTAGAAGCAGAGAAGCAGGATTTTTGCTCGCTAAAGAATTCATTTAACTTCTGTTTCTGGTTAAATTTATTTCTTCAAATGTGTAATTTTAGACAGAATTCTTCAAAAGTCACACCTTAGGTCTCAAGAATGTAAAGAAAGTGTCAAAAAAAGTTAAATATATAATGTTATATTAGAGATATATGTATCGTTAGCTATGATGGATAAATCCCATTATAGTCGAAATATGCCTGTTTATGTTGCATTATCTCTTAACATACATACATAACAAACTTCCAGATGTAAACATGCAGCTGCACTTTGAGGAAAATAAAATATCCACAAGTTAGGGTCAATTTTGGCCCCATGAACACTGAATCTGAACTGGACCTGAACTTCCTGTTGTCAGAAGTCTAACACATAGCATCTTCCGCCCCTTCCTCGGTGGAACTGGGTCGTGAATAACACTTCCCCTTGGCAGATTTCATTCCTGTGTGCCAGAGCCTCCTGAACAGAGAACTGGGTTAGATTGCAGCTTCAAACGTTGAGGCAGAATCCAGAGAGACGGTAGCTGTGCATTTCTTCCATGCATTATGTTAAAAAGCGTCAGAGACTTAGAGAGAAAATCAGACCTGCGTCGTCACTGCAGACTTCAGAGTCAGCAGCATGTCAAAATACACAGGGGCTGAAGTGTGACAGGTATGACAGCGTGGTGGTTTTTGTTTTGCTGTTGAGGCCAGTGATGTCTGGTGGCTGAGGCTGCAGTCGTCAGCAACATCTCAGTTTGGTCAACATAATTACAGACTGAGGATTTACGAGGCTGCAGCAGAGTTTCCTCTCTCCTGGGGAAAACACACTCGCAGCAGCAGATGGAGAGGCAATTTCTTTTGAAGAGTTTGTCTCCACTACGGTGATCTATTTTTAAATTTCATTTGGTCTGTTTGTTTCCTGCAGCTTTTTCATATTGTTTTTAATATCAGCAGATTGATGAAATTTCACCTGATCTCTGAGACAGAGCCGTGCAGAGACCTTTGGAGGAGCAGGTGCTCAAAGTTAAAAAGGGGAAACAATATTTTAAAGCACCAAAATTTACAGCATAACCTGGAGTTATAGTAACCAATATTCAAACAGAATGTGACATGGAGCCTTACAGCTACTCGCATCACACTATTGTTATCATACTGCTCCTGATAAAATCAGAGGAAAATTATAATAAATAAATAATAGGAAATTATAAATGTTGCAATGTCATTTGAGCTGACTTTCCCTTTAAATTTCTCAAAACCCTACAGTAAAATCACATGAAATTTGACACAGACATAGTCAGGGTCATCCTAAACAGGAATCTTTTCAAGATTTGATACAACCTATGAAGGCTTGAAAAAAAAGGACATTTCTAATATGAGGAAATAATGAATGTGTGTGTGTAATTTAAGGTGACTTGACCTTTATGTCTCTCGAGAACTGACCAATAAAACCACATGAACCTTTGTATGGTCATAGTTAGGGTCATCCTTTCAGCTAACACAGGAAAGAAAGGTTTTATACCAGGTTAAAGATAATGATTTAATGAGATTTTAGCTTTGGAACTTTCTGTTATAACTTTTGTTATAACAGAATTTCATATAATGTGCAATATAATGTCATTTTACTTGGTATATTAAATGTGAGAAATTATTACTGAAATACGTTGTACTTTTTGGCCACTCCATTCACCTGTAACTTAAAAAACCAGCATACAAATCCATGCAGCAGCTGGGCTTTACCAGGTGTTCTCGAATGACGTCTCACTTGACTGCAGTAAGAACCAGCAGTCAGGACCACTGTTATACTTACACTGCATAACTAATACACAATTGAAGGTGTGTAACGCTGTTACTATAAATATAACGTTATAATCCTGTGTGGCAACTATGGTCGCAACGGAGGGCACCTCACAGATGACCTTTCACCTGCCACAGGTAGAAGGCCATCATCATGTGACGTAAACTGACTGACAGCACTCAGGTCATTTTAGTTAAAGCTAAATTTTTATGAGATGTATAATGTTCTTTCTGAAAAGGGCCACAGGAAGGCTTTCACACAAAAAAAAAGAAGAAAAAAAAAAGAAAACTATAATTACAGCCCTGCGGCAAACACACACACGCACACACACACACACACACACACACACACACACACACACACACAGAAGATCTATCCAATCAGCAGTTTCAAGGTGGACACCCAAGATTAGTGTCACCAGTTCAGTATTCGACCAAATGTTTCCCCTTCTGTTCCTGATGTGGTGTCAAGTAATTGCCAGAAAACTGTTTCATGCACAATATAATGATGTCACAGTGAATCTGAATATAAAATGTCATCACTTCATTATTTTATACTATCAGACATTTGTGTGAAGTTTTGTCATAATTAGCTAAAGAATTCTTGAGTTATGGCCAAAAACATGTCATGTGAGGTCACACTGACCTTTACTTTTGACCTTTGACCCCAGAATTGAAATCAGTTTATTCCCCTAAGTGGATGTTTGTGTCAAATTTAAAGAAATTCCCTAAAGGTTTTCTTGAGATACCGCGTTCACGGGAATGAGACATGAGGTCACATTGACCTTGACCTTTGACCACTGAAATCTAATCCGTACATTGTTGAATCCAAGTGAACATTTGTGCCAAGTTTAAAGAAATTCCCTGAAGCTGTTCTTGAGATATCGCATTCACAAGGATGGGATAGATGGACACACAACCCCAAAATATAATGCCTCGGGCCACGGCTATTGCCGGCACAGAAGCATAAAAAAGCCTCGACAAAAGGGCACTTTGGACATCACATGGTTAAGGGACAGGTGCTCGAGCACCCTTAGCCTCCCTCTCTGCATATGCCTGCTCTGAGAAGATGCAAGGTTGAAGCTAAAGATTTCACATATGTGACCCAGATTGCTTATTTTCCTTATTTGTATATAAGAGTGTAAAATGGAGCTATTAAATTGCGCTCCACTCAGGGAGCTTTTCTTTATATTCCTGGGTGGAACACCTATTGTGAGGCTCCATTACAGGAAACATAGTTGACGAATGTTAAGATGTCTTGCCGCTCTTAAATGCATCTCAAAGTGCAGGTACATTACTGCTGCATGCAAATGGATTTTGTCTTTTAGATTCTGCAGGCTTTCTGCCTCTCAAGTACACAGTGTTATACAGTCTGTATTTCAGCGTTCTGTCATGAAGCAGACTGCTGTCGAGACTGTCAGGTGGCTGTCAAGTAGCACGAGACAATTTTGATGTCAAGAATTGCTGGAAACGCGAGCCTCTATCACATTATGTGTCTGGCCTTTATCACCTATTGTAGACATTCCACAGAAAAGCTGTCAAACTGTTTTTTATGGATGATTTGTGGGTCAAATATTGTGTGATGATGATCTCCCATCCAAACTGTCACCGACTGTCCACTGACAGCTCTCTTTGCTGCTCACTGCTCTCCTCTCATCAGAACAACACTGCATCTAAACAGATTTCTTCCTCCTGAACTATTTCGAGGTGCCATATGTGGTCCTGACAAGAAACCTCTTGAGTAAATCTGTTGTGGCACATCCACTCTGTACTGTTTTCTTCATCACAAAATTACCCTTTCAGAATAAACCACATTGCTCTTAAAAGAATGGAAAAAAAGGTTATTCGTGTGGTTTGTCACAAATAGCCAATGTTCAAAATGTATTCCTCCCAGTTACTACGCAGTTTCCTGCTGTGCAGCAACTGTGCCCACAAAACAAGCCAAGTCAAGTTTATTTATAAAGACCAGAAGCACAAGTTGTTCCTAACGGGCTTTATAATCTGTACAGTTTAAGAGAACCTCTGCTCTGTAATGAGCAACCAACACCAGAGAGACCCTTTAAAAAATCAGGCAAAAACAGAAGCAACAAAAGAATGATCCTTCCACTGGCATGAACAACTTTTAATCAGTATGCTGTGAATGTATGCTGTGCTTTCATTTTGACA